CTTGCTGATAAGGGTGTCTGCTTAATCGACGAGTTTGATAAGATGAATGATGCTGACAGGTTAGAATTCGCAAAAATGGGTTTAAAATTATCTATATCATAAAATTAACCATTTAAATACCAGAACAAGTATTCATGAAGCTATGGAACAACAGACTATTTCTATTTCTAAAGCTGGGATAAACGCATCGCTCAACGCGAGATGCGCTGTCATTGCTGCGGCAAATCCTATAAGGGGTCGATACAACACATCTATACCATTTTCACAAAACGTAGATTTAACGGAACCTATTCTGTCCCGTTTCGATGTTCTTTGTGTTGTCAAAGATACCGTCGATCCCATTACGGATGAAACGCTTGCAAATTTTGTGGTCGACAGTCACATCCGTAGTCATCCAAGTGAACAAACCAGTGTAGATAATTTATCTCCACAAGACCCAAACGTATGCATATTTCCTATCCATTTAATTAACATACTAATAGCAGCTATAATAATAGTATATACATCGTTGTATAGATTATTTCTCAGGACCTTTTGCGTAAATATATTATATATGCAAAGCAAATAACGCCGCAGCTTACACATCTTGACGAAGCGATGGTTTCAGAGTTATATTCTAATCTAAGGAAAGAGGTCTGTACAATATTGTGGACTGTTTACTCGTATGCGTTTTCATTGAATTAATGTATTACATTATTTTGTTGCAGGCCCAGACGGGTGGTATTCCGATAACGGTTCGTTATCTAGAATCAATGTTGCGGTTGGCTGAAGCACATGCTAGGTAATATGACGTTATTTTGTCTTAGACCTCCTTCTGTTTGTTTATCACACGTACTATTCTATTATAGAATGCACCTTCGGGATCAGACAAATTCAAACGATTTAGATGTGGCAATAGATGTGGTGTTGCAAAGTTTCTTTTCTTCCCAAAAATTCTCAATTGCGAACAAACTTAGAAAGGTAATATTTTATTTAAAGGTTATTTCAGGCTCAGTGCTAATCATATCACTTCTTTTCAGTGTTTTGCGCAGTATATCAATAAAGCGAAAGACCAACAAGAGTTACTTCTACATGTGCTTAACTCATTAGTCAGAGAAAAGATCCGAATCCAAAGAGTTGGTAATGCCAACGCAAGAGATGTTAATATTCGTATAAGTGTGTCTGAATTCCAAACGCAGGTTTGTTTCAATCATTGGGATTGTAGAATTTATAAACGACTAATTAATTAGTTATTATATTTATTAGGCTAAGAATTATAATATTCATAACATCGAGCAGTTCCTTCAAAGTGATGAGTTCACAAATCATTTCTTACTGGATCAAGAACGAGACGTCATTATCAAACCGATTTAGGTGTTGCATATATACAATTTAACAACTAAAAGATTCAGAACAATAACTTGTATTAGTTTACTTCATATAATAAACTCGTTATATCGTGTTCATGTCAGTTTGTATTATGTGTTGTGTAAAGTTTTTACGAAAGTATTGGGGTGTGTTCTAAAAGCCGTATACCAATTATTGTATAATTAATATAATTACGTAGAATAATTTCAACCATTGCTATACGTGTAATAGATATTTTTTCATTTTTGTATATTATGGCATCTTATACAGGGGGATCCCCGAAATTCTGGGTCAGAAGTAGGGTGAGTGGCTACCATGGCATGTAGGGAAAATAACAGGGGTGAACGTCCCAAATTTGGGGGTCGTCTAAAGCCATGTACCCACGTGACTTTTTTATGTAAATCAACCAACCGGAATTGCGAAATTTTGTT